TATTTTATAGGTACTTGACTAGGCTTTAACCCAGAAAACAATTAAATTATCAGCCAAAATTCACAAAATATAAAGCACTATGCATTAAAAATATGATTGATTTAAATTAATTAAGTTTGCAAAAGAAAATCAACTGGAAATGCATGTATGTGCATGGCTTTCAAGCTTACTGTGAAATGTGCCTAGTTATTTAAATCCCAATTATGCATGAATTAGGTGAATCGTTGTTCAATATTCAATGTTCAATAAATTAATATTCAAATAATAAATACAGTAAAAAGGGGCCCTTGTATATGCGCATATCTTCGGTTCACAATAATTTAAATTATGAGTAATTCATTATAATGACTAGCTGATAAAGATGGCATTTCAATATGTCATAAAATGTAAAAAAACTTGATAAAATCCAAAAATATCCATTATGGAACGGACTAACCTGGCAGTAGTATTTCGTTGGGTTAAAATCAGTAGCTTACGTCGGTTTCCAGTGATTGAGAAGAGCCTCTTAGTGTTGACCTGGGTCAAAGCTTATCGGGCTTTCGAACTCGACCGCATGGTACGGATTCCATGTTCAGGAAAAAAAGCCAAAGTCTACCAAAAGTAACGTAGGCTTGAGACTGGTGGCTTGGTAGGTAGCTAGTTAGCTAGCCCAAATATTAGGGCCTAAGAGGACAATTATTTGTGCCCTGGATGATGTATGGCCCTTTATAGGTGAATTTAAAAATGGGTTTTTGGAACGATTTCTGTTTGATTCCCAAATAAATAAGCAGGATCACTGCTGACAATCAGAACAAGTCTTAGTGGGGGACAGAATTCCAAAATGCCCTTTTAAAATCGGCAATATGCCACGAGGATAAGCAGCTTTCTCAGCTAAGCAAATCCTCAAACAAAAAAAATACATAAATGACAAAGTTTCCAATTGATGATACATTCCCTAAACATCCGGTGGATGAGCTTTCAAATCTTTGCCATTCCACACACCAATGTTTCGACCATTAAGGTCGGCAAGTTCGTAACACCACGGCGAGACAATTTTGGTAATGATAAATGGTCCAATAAATCTAGGTGCCAACTTGGCTGGAAACTTCTTCTTGCTATCCGACAATACAAAATTCCGTTTCCACACCTGTTGGTCTATAGAGAGCTTGTCACTGCGTTTCCGATGATCGTAACGATGTTTGGTTTTATTGTAGGCGTTGTCGAGCCTCTTATGGACATCAGCGAAAACTTTAGCCATTTCGTTTGATCTCGTAATAGGATCGACACGACTCGCATTTGGACGGTCGACAAGAGTACCATTACTACAATTACTACTAGGAGATCGCAGCTCCCGACCAAACATACTAAAATTGGGAGTCAATTCGGTAACTTCATGTTTAGCCGAACGAATCGCAAAAGCAACTTTTACAAGGTAGCGGTCCCATTGTCTATGATCTTCTTCTACGTAACTGGAGAGCATTGTCTTCAACACACGATGAACCCGTTCAACTGGGTTAGCTTGTAGATGGTAATTGGCAGTGTATTTTACCAAAATATTATATTGCTTCATAGTCTTTTTAAACAAGTCACTCCGAAATTGGGTACCATTGTCGCAAATGATCGTCTCAATCCCAAAAATTAACGCATAATAGTCGTTTAACCATTTCAGAATATTACCCGTAGTGGCAGTTCTGATCGGAAATAATAAGACAAATTTACTGAAAACATCACACACAGAAAGAACGTAGGAATAACCAGATGAAGATCGAGGAAGAGGTCCCACTAAGTCAATACTAGTCAATTATCCGGGTCGCGAAAGTTGAGGCTGAAGACTAAGCATTTGTCCTGCAGCAGCCTGTTGATTTGGTTCGGTTTTCAAACAAACCTTACACTTACGGATATATCTAGCCACTGTACAACGCATAATAGGCCAATAATACTGCTGAGAAAGACGTGCCATTGTCTTATACACACCCAGATGTCCGCAGTGTGGGGGGTTATGATTGTCTTCAATTAGTTCCGCCCGTTTTTCCCGAGGAACCACAACCAGCCATCAGCTTCTGGAAATGTCAAAGAAGGATACAGCATTTTAACTCGTTTATAGAGTGTTTCACCATTCACGCACCACAGTGGATACTTAGATGGTTGTGTTCGAACCTTATCACCCATTTTGATGTACCATTCATCATCCGACGGAATTTTAAGAGAAAGTCCAACAGCTGAAATGTCAACATCGCCTTCAACAACTGGAACGAGACAAAAAGTATGGGACAACATGATCTTTTCCCTTCCTATGCACAATGTCAAAATCATATTATTGCATCCTAACAGCCCATCTGGCGATTCTGCCAACGTGATCTTTTACATTATTTAGCCATTTAAGGGAATAATGATCCGTAATGACGGTAAACTTGGTACCTTCCACATAAGGACGAAGTACGGCGAGACATTCCTTTTCCGTAGTGCTATAGCGACGTTCATTCTTAGTGAGAGAGCGACTGAGGTAACATATAACTCGTTCCTCGTCATCGATAACTTGCGAAAGTACGGCACCTAAACCGAAATCACTAGCATCTGTCTGAATAGTAAGGGGAACATTGAAATCAGGAGAAGATAGAACAGGAGCTCGAATCAAATGCTCTTTGATACTCTTGAACGCTTGTTCACACTGAACCGACCATACAAATTTAACATTTTTTCGAGTAAAGGAAGTCAACGGAGATATCAAAGTACTAAAGTAAGGTACAAAGCGACGGTACCATGAAGCCAACCCGACAACTCTTCTCACCTCAGTGACGGATTTAGGAGGGAGAATATTGATGATAGCCTGGATCTTTTCAGGATCAACCAATAATCTAGAAGAATTTACTAAATACCCCAAATACTTAAGTTCGCTCTTGCAGAAATTACATTTGTCACGGTTAAGAGTTAGTCTTGCTTTTCTTATTCGATTTATTACTTCCTTTAGTATTGAAATGTGTTTCTAGAAAGTCAGAGTCAAACAATCACGTCGTCCAAGTATATAAATACATATTGTTCAAGATCCACGCCCACAACGCGATCTATTAAACGCTGCCACACAGATGGTGCATTAGTAAGGCCAAAAGGCATATGTCGAAATAAAAATAGACCCCTATTAGGTACAGTAAAAGCCGTTAAGGGTCTAGAAGACTCAGAAACTGGAATTTGCCAATATGCAGATGTTATATCTAATGTACTCAGATACTTAGCTTCACGAAACTTATCCAGAGTCGCGCTGACAAAAGGAATCGGATAGGCATCCGGAACGGTAACCTTATTTAGTTGTCGATAATCGAAGCAAAAACGCCAGCCTCCCATCTTTTTCCGAATCATAACAATTGGTGACGACCTAGGAGAGCTAGAAGGTTCCACTATACCATCAGCTAACATTTGTTCAAGTCCAGAATGGACTTCTTTCTGCAAAGCAGGTGACAGAGGATAGTACCGTTTTTTAATGGAGGCCGAATTGGCCTTAATTTCCAACTCCACCATTTTGGTATATCCTAAACCAGCAGACAAGTCTCATTTAGAAAAGCATCGAGGGTCTGTCTCTGAATGAAAGATAATCGAGTGACTCAATTGCACAAAGATTCACCAATGACGTCGTGTCATCGCAAAAGGACCATTCGCCAGAATGCAAATCAGGAATAATGCCCATATCAGACCAAAAATCTATTCTCAAAATGAGACCATGTGAAAGAGAAGGAACAACCAAAGCTTCAATAAGACTTACTCGATCTCGAAGACAGATTGGAATTTACCGATACTCTTACAGGTTTGACCGTTTCCCACAGTACAATTCACCTGAGCATAGGAATTAATTTCACAAAAGGGTTGGAGAATATTCCAATCTCTAGCGCCAATAATAGTACGAGTAGAACCACTATCCAACAGACCCAACATAGGCCGACCATAAAGCGAAACTTGAAGATATGGACGTTGATTTCCCTTTGCATGAGCCAACACATTATCCAAAATAAACTTATTCGTTGGGGCCCAAGAGGATACGTCAGAGGAAGGAACTGGACCTAAGAACTTCCTGCATTCGAGTTTTCTGAGCATTTGGGACACGTTTTCGACGTAACGTCTAGATGACCACACAAGAAGCAAAATACAGTACGAGGTTGCTGGCACTGCCTGAATCGATGACCATTGGTGCGACAATTCCAACAAAATACAGGTTTGCTAGAAACCACATTAGAAGCAAGCTGATTCTCAGGAGGAGAAGCGTTAATTGAGGCGACCTGAGGTCTACGATACGTCAAGCCAGGTTCAACCAGTTGTCGATGAGAGGTTGGAGGAGGTATAAACCTCTGAATTCGTGTTTCAGTTTCCTCAATAGCACGACTGAGATGAGTTAATTCATGAAGGGAAGATATCTGGTGAAAAGATAGTCGACTTTGAATATATGGTAGAAGATTTCGTCGAATAATTGGAAATCTCTGAGCCTCAGACGGCACATCAGGGAGTTTTTTAAACAAATTCTCCATCACTACTATATAATTAAGCACTCGCTCCTTGGCCCCTTCGGTCCTGTGACGAATGTCATCCCATAAGGAGAATTCATAATCATATGGTGATTGAGTTGTCTTGTCAAACTGCCCAACTCAAAGAAACCAGTACGATACCAAAGTAATGCATCCTTCTCAAATAGTTCAGCAGCTGAACGCAAAAATGAGTCTTTTGAAATACCTCTCCAGATACGAAGCTCTTCCACTCGCTCCAAGAAGTCATTGACACTAGAGTGACCATTAAACTTCAAATTCCTTTGCTTGCATCCACAAATGATCCATGGAACCCAGATCTCCGAGAAAAGTCAAAACCTCCACGTAAACGCGAAAATTGAAAATTCTCCAAGCGTTCACCCAGATCCACCTCAGGATTGGAATAAGAAAGCGAGTCGTCCAATGGTACGGAGTCGTAGTTGACAATCCGCGAAATCTGCGGATCTGCTTTTGTAAAATGGACATGCTGAGTTCGACGATGTGGAAATGACTTACCAGAACCAACCTGACGAGAGAACGCTAGGGTTTGTGCTTCAGATAATGATTGAGATGGACGATTATCCATAGGGTAGAAATTAGAAACTTGATCAGAGCGAGGCTGTGATTCACTTTGAACCTGCTGAGATGGAGAAGCATTATTGAAATTATGCCTGACCGGAGTCAATCGATTAAACTCGAGGTTCCCATTAGAAGGCCGCTGTGGCTGAAATGGATTGTCATTGTGAAATGAAATGAGATCATTTCCTGATCGAAGTATGGAAGAATGTCTAAGTTGAGTGTCTATACGGTTTCTAGACGAGGTATTAGGAGCAGGGTCCTGAGAGTTCTTTAACACAGAATGAGGCACTGATTGCTTACGTGCAAAACCTGATGCAGGATCAAGGGTTTCTGGTCTACCAGACGTTAAAACCTCTGGGTCAGTAAGCGACGGATCCGTAGCTTGTGACAAAACCTCATCGTCCTCATGAGCCTCGATATGATCCCTAACATCCACTAAATCATACGCAATAGGAATTGTAACAGCCACATGTGGTTCCTGAACTGGGGGAAAAATTTCTTCCCTATTCAAGTATCTTGCTTTTGTGAATGATAACCTCGTGAATAAATTGTCACAGACCCTTAGTTGTTCATGCTTAGCTGTAAACTCTAATCGGTGGTCCATTGCCTGTATTCGGTCAAGACGTAATTTTATGTGAGTTACTAAAGCATTTATTCTATTATATTCATTTTCTGCATTTCCAAATTCAAAATGCTGAATATCACGGTCCAAGGTATAGAGTTTTCCTCTACAAACGCACAACTCGCTATCTGTTCCAAATGTAGTCCCGGATGGTGGCTGAATATGACCCTCTCTTTCTGGTCTCAAAGCTTCCCTCAATGAAGCTCTCTTCTGAGCAAAAGAAGCCGTCATAGGTAAACAAAATAACTTGATAATAAACCCATCACAGCATTGGTGTTTAGCGCATCTTACAGGATCGTGATGGTTGATGTGCTTAATGTCCTTCAACCGAAAAATTAGGTCTAATACAGAAAACGGCGCCTACAAGCCAAAAACTTCGCATTACTGCAGCTCCTAAAAAAAACATGAACTGATCTGCTGTTAAACACTGCAAAACCTCACTTAAAGGTAACTAAGCTCAAGACGCGTACTTAATTTTTTTTTCTAAAGCTAAACTAATTTCATGCCCGGACGGTATAAAACCGTAACATGATATACCTAAATATCACTTTACAGATTCATATACATAGTATCATGTAGAAACCATTGTCTCCACTGAGATCATCACACAAATATAATAAAAACATGGAAAATGAACAAACAAATCTTTTAATAAGTTTCAGGTCCTTGGGGCCCAGTGAAATAACAAATCACGTTTGCAAGCTATTGAATTTTTATTAATACAGGCAATATGGGAGCTCGAAATTTTATACGCTGTTTTATATGAAGTGAAATATTTTGCTATAATAAATATATAGAATTTTTTGGAAAACAATGCATCAGAAAATTTAGCCTTATTCAAATTTGCATTTCGAAATTTCAAATATGTAAATGTGGTATGTTATTTGAATAGAATACAAATAAACCAATAAGTAGTAAATTTGATTTTTATTATTTTTAAAATAATCACTCAAAAATCATTGTGAAATTCTATTCCCTAGATGGCATAATCAGAACACAATAAAGCCATTAAACTAGCATTCTGAAGGGTGACTTTTGTATTTTTGCTGTCTCTGCAGCACTCGAGAATGATAAAGGCAAGAGTTCATTATTTTCCAAAAAAAAAAATACATTTATCATTCAAAAGTCAAATTTGCATAATACAAGACGTGCATAACAAATACCTATTCTTCGGGCTTGGTATTCAAAAAACGCAGTTTTTGGCATTTTCCAGACGACATCAACATTGATAATCCAATTATAAAGATAAAATTTGTCCGTTGTTTATCAGATGTTGTTTTTACCATTATAATATGAATTTGCTTCTCCTCTTCTTTTAAATATGACATATTTATCATATTATATTTCTGTATAGTTGTGAGAGAATGTTTGTATGATTATGGAGATATTGCACCGGAGTATAGACTCAACAATAAAAAAACGAAGAGTTCTTTTTGGATGGAAACATACCAAGTAATCAAGAGTTTGACTTTTATCAAAATATTTCCGAAGGAAAAGAGAGAACGTCTCTCACATACACAATAAATCTTCTTCAAGATAATATGACTTATTATTTTTCAGCTATATTAACTCTTGTCTTGAAGAAAATTTATTTTATCTCTAGAACTATAAGCGATTTTAAAGTGTGAAAACCAAGCCATATTCTCATTACCAGCCGTTATACAATAAAATCCACTTGGGGGAAGCTTTTAGCTGGACTGCTTTGTTCTTTACAAGAACAAATAAATGCTGTTTTCTTTCAGTCGTTTCGGACACTAATTTAGTTTAAGTGATAAGCTTAAGGCCTTTGCAGCTTCTAAGGTTGTCAAGTTACGAAAAAGGGCTAACGCTGTGTACCTAATTGAAAAATAATTTTAAAATGTTTTTGTAAAGGAAAAAATAATTTATCTTTTATGAGACAAACTTTCAAATTATTTTTAGCATAGCTAATAAATTCACCCGAAGTCTTTTATTATAATTTCTCGAATGTAAACTTCCCCTATGAAAAGCTAAAGTTGTTTAGAACTACCGTATAGCGACAATGGACTATAATACAGGATATCTTGTAAACAGAGTCTCCCAGGAGACCTTTTTTGAATAGACCCGGAGGCCGTTAAGAGGTCTACAGAGTTTCGTGAGAGGCAATCTTGGTGGCGTCACTTTAAATTTGCACTTTGGGAGAAAAATTAGGGGCTAAGTTAAAGGAGCATTAATGAGTGGTGGATTTATTTTATGTCTGTATTCATTTTCTTTAAAGACCGGTTTGTTTTTATGCAAACCCAAAAGGACCATTAGGATTGTTTTTAATCAGCACAATGAAGAATTCGGTAGTAATATGTAAATTTTCTACCATTAAAGCCGAATCAATTTTGAATGTAAAAGAGTGTCCAACGATCATTTGGTCATGTTCCTTTATTAACCTAGAGGGCACGTTTTTCCTCAACTTTGAGGTACCAGTTAGTAGTAACACTTTCCGTTGGCCCAATAGGTATTGTAACAGAGTTGATAGAAATTGATGAAATTAAAATTATTAGTGACTTTTATATTGTTCCTGATAAAATGCAAAATGTAGAGGTTTTGATAGGGCGTCCGGTTACAGAAAGAGAAGGAATATTTGTTTACGAGACAGCAAAGCATCTATATTTGACCGAAACCATTTTTTTTGAAGAACTTGCAGGATGTATACTGTATAATGATGAAATCCGAATCAATGTTTTGGAAAAAACTACTTTAAATCCATGTGTGAATTTTATCAGCGTTTCTACACGAGTAAATGAGGGTAAATCAGAGGGCTAATTTCTCGGAGCAGAATCGAAACAATTCTACTTTAATTGTACCTGAAAATCTGAAAATAAATTAAAAATGACTCTTGATAGAACTAAGTTGCGAGTATTAAATATGGGCCTCGAAAAAATAACTCTAAAAAAGGATACATGTGTGGCAAGAGGGAGATGGCACGGAAGCAACAATAATTCCACCAAGGTCACTGAAGAAGTTAACAATATTTTAACAAAATATCCTAGATGTTTTCAGGAGAATAGCTCTCTTCTATGTGATAAGATATAGAAATGGTACTAGAACTAACCTCTAGTATCCCCATATCAAGTAAACCATGTCGCCTAACAGAGTTTGAAAGAGAAAAAGTCCGAGAAATAATCCAATAGCTGCTTGAAAAGGGAATAATAGAACCAGTGAATTCACCATACTCCAGCCCAATTTTATTGTTAAAAAAAAAGAATGGCGGATATAGAATGGCATGTGATTATAGAAGACTGAATGCAATTTTAGTTAAAGACCAGTACCCACTACCTTTAATAGAACACCTGATCGAACGAGTAAATGGAAATAGTATTTTTACAACCCTAGATTTGAAGGCCGGATATCATCAAATAAAAATGGCGGATGAAAGCCGAAAATATACTGCGCCCGATGGATACTATCAGTTCAGCAGGGTCCCATTTGGCCTATCTAATGCACCGGCTGTATTTCAGAGGGCTATCCATTTCGCTTTAGGTAACATTAGGCATCAATATGCTCAGGTAAATCTGGATGATATCTTGATTGTAGCTGTGACACACGAACAGGGACTGAAAAGATGGGATAATGTGTTACGTCTAATGGATCTTGCTGAACATAGAAAAAACGTAGAAAAAATGTGAGTTCCTTAAAGATTCTTTGGAATACTTAGGAGTAGAAATTTCGAAAGGGATACTTGAACCATCATTTAAAAAGCTTGAGGTAGTTGAAAAATTTTCAGCCCCCACAAATGTGCATCAGACCAGACAGTTTATTGGATTGGCCTCCTATTTTAGGAAGTATATAGAGAAATTTGCATAGAAGGCTAAACCCCTAACTTCTCTCCTGAGGAAAAACAGCAAATGGGTTTGGACAACCGAACATCAAATGGCATTTAACACGTTGAAGGAGGAATTGACGGCTAAACCTGTGCTGGCAATTTACAATAGCAAATCCGAGACTCATTTACATACTGACGCCAGCAAACTGGGAATCGCAGGTGCATTATTGCAAAAATATGAGAATGCCGAATGGAAACCAATAGCTCACATAAGCTGACAAACTAGCGACACTGAAACTAGATATCATAGCTATGAACTTAGAAACACTGGCAGTCTATGAAGCAGTACACAAGTTTCGTAATTATCTTTATGGCAGACACTTCACAATAATCACCGTCTGCAATGCATTGAAGCTAACATGGACGAAGAAAGAGCTCACGCCACAAGTAGGTCGGTGGTGGCTATCGATGCAGGAATACGATTTCACCGTAGTTTACCGACCTGGAAGACGTAGACGCATTAAGTCGCAATCCTGTGGTCATATATACAATAAAAACCAATGAATGGATAGTAGCAGTACAAAATCAAGATGAAAATATATATCTGCTATGACAACAAGCTATTCAGAAAATAGTTGAAAAAGGTCATTCTATCGTTGAGGACAAAGTTTGTAAAGTTATCAATGAACAACCAAAAAAGATATTAGATGGCGAATTACCAAGATGTTTCATGATGATAATAATGGGTATCCGGGCAAAGAAATGTACTGGTTCAAGGATATGAGCAAATTCTTTAAAAAGTTTGTTGGAAACTGTATTCCTTGTATGGTGTCAAAAAGACCAACAGGAAAACGTATAGTTGAATTTCATCCAATTGAAAAAAAAAGAGCAACCGTTTCATACCTTACATCTAGATCATGTAGGACCCTTCTGTAAAAGTGCTGAGAGCAACTCCCACATTCTACCTATTATTGATGGGATTACAAAGTTTGTTTGGCTGAAAGCCTATTATGTACTGGGTACATAAACCCATTTACTTTTCAGAGTAAGAAATAGCCTAGTGAGCTATCAGCTTTTTTAGGTCACGAGGCCGCTCCTAAGTCAGGACAGCCGAATGTTACACCACTGGCTATATTTATCCGGCTTGGAACAATCAACCCGCGACTGCAAGAAAAGTGAAGGACACCCAAGAGTCATGAAAAAACCCTTGTGTTTTTGTTCGACTGTAAGGTACCAAAAATCAAGAGGTTTGCTAAACAGAAAAGGGATTAAAAGCAAAAAGGCAAATAGTACCTGATTGACCGTGGTCGTAAATACTTTACCCGTACAAATGCGAACTAAAATATTGTTATAATCTTGATTTGAGTTTGTTTTAACATTAAATATAATTAGCTCTGTTCCAACTGACATGAGAACCGTTCCAGAACCAGTAATTTCTAGTTGCCCACCTAAATATTTTTCAATAAGTCGAACGTTTATCCTACTTGACGAATGAATTGATCGACTGCAAATTACCGTTCAAGGACGGTTCTCATGTCGGTTGGAACAGAGCTATTTAATCTATCGAGGAGACTATTTACTAGAGGTGATTCTTATGAGACGAGCTATAATCTATCGAGGAGATGATTCACTAGAGCTGATTCTTTTGAGAAGTTGGTTCCAGGCACATTGTTTGGCAAGATCAAGGGTGCGAACTTTTAAGGTGTGTGCTCCTTTATCATTATCTTTCTATTTCATTTTATAAACCTATAATCCCAACTTGGTGAATTTCTGATGTCCCACTCAATATTTTGATTCCTAATTATTCTTGACACTTGGGCGAGTGTATGTATTTTATAAATCTTATTTTTCTTTCCATTTTGGTAGTAGATTGTAAATTGCATTTGGACCCGTTTCAGCTTGCTCAAGCCTCTCAAGAATGTCACCTTTCCAGAAAAATGGTGCGTGACTCTGCTTTTAGTTGCTCTCCAAGATTTGTAAGCTTCTCCCAAAGGGCACCAGCTGGTTGGGTGATAAAGTGCCACCTCTTGAAGAAGTGAGCAGGGCATTCACAGATTAAATGCTGTGTAGTTTCTATTGCTCGTTCGCAAGATCTGTAGTGGTCGTTGTCTAATTTGCCTATTGTTTTTAGGTGATATTTCACCAGGCAGTCAGTGTCCAGTGAGCAGTCCAACGATTTTTATAATGTCTCTTCTGTTCATGTTAAGAAGTTGTTCAGATCTCTTTGTTGAGATGGATATGACTCTTTTTGCCTGTCTCAGACCTGGAATGGATCTCTAGTGAGCTAGCATTCGGTCCTTTTCCCATCTGTTCATTTCTTCGGAGACGTGGCTTTCCATTATTCCACAAAAAGGATCTGGGCCTTGAAAAAGTGTTATAGCGCCTTGCTTTGCGTGACGGTCTGCCTCCTCGCTGCCCTCTATGCCCAGGGTCCTTATTCTTGAAACAGGACAATGAGTGTTCTGTCTTTGTCAATGATATGGAAAGGATAATATAGGTAACAAAGACGGAACACTCGTTCTCCTGAAAACGCTGCTCTCCTGTTCCAAGAATAGGGACCCTGTTGTCCCAACATCAGGGTTATTTTGTTCCTCACAGCCAGTTGTTGAAGGATATTTTTAACCTCCCAAACTAGCTGCGAATTGCACTTGATGGCTCCTAGAGCCTTTAGGCCCTTTAGAGCCGCTGACCGACGAACAGTATGTAAATGTGCCCTCTTTAAAGGCCTCTTTTAAGGCTCTATTGTGCACAGATGTTTATTGCCAGTACTTCCGTACCTCAGCTTGAAATATTGTAGGCGTCTTACCCATTGCTAGGGATAGTTTAAAGTTTGGATAGTTATTCCCAGACCGACTCCTTCCGTTAGCGGCGAACCATTCGTGTACCACAGCGATGCGTTGTCTGTCCGCTTGCGGTAGCTTTTCTTTTCCATACGATTGGCGTTCTTTCACAACCACTTCATATGGAGTGTCAAAGTCCAGTGACGTTATCATATGATTTGTTGGTTTACTTTGGCTCTCAAGCTTTATAGACTGAAGGATGCGTGAGTGGCTTTCAGATCACCAAATCTTTTTGTCTGGAATAGCCTATAGGCATCTATTTATTGTAACGGGCCCAAATTGCACAACTAATTCTTACCTACTTTCAATTTTGTATTCAAAATTGCACAATCTCAACGGTTGTACAATCCTGTAAATTTCCTAATTTTCAATGGGCAAATTCTATTTTCATTTGTTACTAGTTCCTGTTAATCCATGTTTTAATTCGATTTCAAAATCAAAACAAATCAATATTTTGATTCCAATTTTAAATTCAACCATCTGTTTTCATAACAAAAATAATTAATTCATGTGTCAAAAATATTTCGTGGGGTTATGTTCCGAAATCATAATGACCCGTTTTCAAGTGTATGTACAGAACTACTCCGTTCGTACTTACTCTGTTCGGTTATTGAGTTATTGATTTCGGTGCAAGTTCTAGTGAACCCCGGGTCGATCATTGGTTCGATAGCCTTTTGAGATTTTATGCATTATCCTTGCTTTCGGTTTTTTGACTTTTGATTGTCAATAATTTCTGTTAACCGGCGGTCGATTAGTAATGTTTTTAGTATCGTCGATTCTTCAAGCCCTCTAATTTTGCAAACGGATCACTTACTCTATGTTGTATTCTTCAAGTTTTGATTGTTTTATGGGATAATTATTTGTTGTTAATATCATTATTTGTCAGCCGTTGCCATTTTTCTCGGTTTGTATTGTTGTGTGCAATTTTTGGTAAGTGAAAATTTTATCGATTAATTTTTGATGTTTGTCGTTATTCTGAATCATCTCTGAGTCTGAATTCTTCCCTTAAGGTTAGCCTATTAATCGAATGTGTAGCACTTTTCTTTTCACGTTCGACTGTTTGAAGAAGCAGGTCCTTCAGAAGAATTATTTTTTTCTTCACCTTAAAAAGGGATTTTGGGCCTGATTTTCTTCTGAATTAATTTATGGCACCCTGAGTTACCTTGCGTTGTGTTATACTTTCGTAAAGTGCCATAATTTTCGCCGATGTTATCGGCATTAAAAAAACAGTCATTTGTGGTAAGTTGCTTACACGTTTTTTTCCCATAGAAGATTCTGACTTTTTCCATTCAATTATTAGTTGAAAGCTGCCCTAAAGAGTAGAGAATAATCTCACTCACTCCAGGATATTCAATCCAGACCTCGATCCAGATTTCCAGAGATTTTCGAGGCAAACAAACCCTATTTCCAACAGGTAAAAATATAACCTT